CCATACTCACACCATACTCCAGCCCTTCCCTACTTGGTGTTTTTCCTTAAGTAACAGCATGCTCACTGTAGATAAGATAATGCTTTCTGGACCAGTTGGTTTCATGGTGGCTAAAGCAGCTGGATCCCACATGACCAACAGCGCAGTTAGAGTCCTGGATCCAGTGGTTTGACAGACATTCCAGGTGTGTGTGCATGCCTGCCCCAAATCCTGAGAGAATGCAGGAGAAAGGACTGCAGGATGGCCATTCCCTCAGGGGATGATTTCTCACTTTTCCCATCTCTCTCTATCTCTCTCTCTCATGCATACACCCTGTAGCAAAACCTAAAGTAAAAATTAAAACCCACACACACACAAAATAAATAAAAGGTAATGCTTTCTCCCTAAGAACCAACCTGGACCAGTAAGATGCAAGTTGGCTAACGTAATGACCTCTGGAAGACCCCAAGCCTCATCATAATGTCATTGACATGCTAAATGACACATTTACCAGTACCAGGACAGTTGACAATCCCCAGAAATACCACCAGAAATAACTTTATAAGGAGAAAAAGGAAGTAGGTTTTGTAATTCCTGGAAATCCTTGTGTTTTCCAGGAAAAGCTCTGAATTTTTTTCCCCGCTATTACTCTATCCCCATTTGCTACATCTTAAACTCCCCAGAGGAGTGAGAAGTTGATTTGCAAACTCAGCTCCCACGTCTCCATTCTTTGGCCACTGAATAAAAGTTTGTGTCATGACACTCACTTTTGGTTTCCAAAGCTGGTTCTGCAACCCAATTGTGAAAGAATCCCATCCTTGGTAATAAATTAAACATTCATAACAAGACTACAGGCACGTGCCATTGCATTCAGCCTTTTTGGGTGGGTGAGAAATAGAACCCAGGCCTCTCATGTGGCCTCAGTCTGCCTGTGGAAGAGGCATGGCCCCGATTATATTTCTTAAGTTTCTTTTTTTTTTTTAATAGACTTTACATATACATATAAAGAGTTAAATAGTTTTGTAAGTCTTTTAAACAAACAAACATTATTGTAAAATTCAACACAAATATAGAAAATCATACAGATCAGGCCAGCTGTGGTGGTGTGATAGTAATACAATGTTCTGTGATGCTGAGTCATATAGGAACACCCAGGTTCATAATCTAGGGTCTCCTTGTACACGCAGGGCATGCACACCACCTGCCCATCATCCTGGGTGGCTGAGGCTGGGGGTGGACGGACAGCAGTGAGAGGACACTGCTGGGGGGGTATCTGTCCATCTCTTTCTTCTCCTTTTGTGGGAGAAATAAACTAAAGAAAGGGGAAAAAAACCCCACAGGAATCAAATGTACATGTTAATGAATTATCTTGCAAGCACCACTCATATCAAGAAAGGACATGTGGACACTTCGGAAACCAGTCCTGTAGTGCAGTGATTAAGTGTAGTGCACTGGGAGCCAGAGACCATAGGTTGGCAGCTGTTCAAATCCTAGCCCCAGAGGCTTGAAAGAACACGCCCGGCTCACAAGCATGCATGCTTGCCCCAAACCCTTGATGGGATGGAGAAATGGAGGAAAACAGGAGTGTGGAGTGACCATACCCCATTGAGAAGATGCTTTCCCTGTCTCCCTCCAGTGAACACATGTTTTTCCTGGCAACTGAATATAAATAAATAATTTTTAAAAAAGGGAACTTTGGGTCAGCAGGTGGTGTGGTAGCTAAGGTACTGGGACTCCCACATGGTCAACTCAGGTTCAAGTCCCAGACCTGGTGGTTTGAACATCATGCCGGGAGTGTGTGTTGCATGCGTAAAATCATAAGAGGAGAACAGAAGAGAAGGAATTGTAGTGTGGTCAGCTCCCCAAGGGGTGATTTCTCACTTTCCCTTTCACTCACTGTCTCTCTCTGGTGAGAACATGAGCCCTATAGCAAAAACCTTAAAAAAATAAATTTTTTTTAAGGGAACTCTACCAGCAACTTTAAAAGTCTCTTTCATGTGTCCCCAGTCATATTCCTTTCCTATAGCCAGAAGTAACCACTATGACTTTTTTATTAACCACTCTCCTCATATTTTTCTATGGGCGGTCTTATTACCCCAAAGTGCACCTTTAAACACCACAGTTCAGTCTCATTTTATTGAAAAAAATTTGTGTCTTTAAAACCTCTTTTAATCCAGAGGGTCTTCATCCATACCTTTCCTTTCCCTGCAATTTACTTTTTAAGGGATCTGAAACATCTGACTGAGTTTCCAATAGCCAGATTTTGATAATTATATTCTCTTGGTACAGTTCAATCTGTTCTCTGTCTTCTGCCATTTCTGTCATCAGAGTCAGGTTTGATCCCTTTGGCAAAACTTGTAAGTAGTGTTTGGCAAGGTTAGACACATAATATTTGCTTGTTTTTCTTTGTGTAATAATAGCTATTGGTGTGGAATCTTCATTAATGGAGAGCTATGAAATGATGCTGTATTTATATTATTTCTTTGCTATTTATTAATTAGAATTTTTTTAAAAAAGGAATTCTTCTCATCTACTATTGGGTTACTAAAATTCTTTTCCTGTATTATTCCTTTCTTTAGGTTTATTTATTTCTTCTGAGAGAGACAGAGATAGAATTCTAACAGGGTCCTTTATTAAAGAAAAAGAATTACTTCATCTTATTTATTATTATTATTATTATTATTATTATTATTATCTTAATTTACCAGAGAGAAAGAGAGGGAAAGTGAGAAAGCCAGCCACCAGGTTTGGAACTTGAATAGCAGTTGGCCATAAGAATGTCCAGCACCCCAACCATCATGTCACTTGCTGGTCCCCTCCTAACAGGGTCTTAATATCATGATCCACCCCCAGGTGCAGCTGGCTCTGGAGCACAGGCACATTTGTGCCCAACATACTCAGGTATTCACCAGATACTAACACAAATTCTTCACATGTAGGTCAACCTTGCAGAGCTTTGTGTTTTTCTGCTATGCCATCCAACCTCCTGTTTTCTTTCATTGATAAGTTTTTAAGACAACAAATTTGTTCCCTGTCAAATTCTATAATAGGAGACTATTCCTTTTTAATATTTGCTGGGTTTCAACTAACTACAGTTACTATGATCTTTGAAGTTTGAATTCTACCATCTTAGATCAGCTATAAGCCTCTTCAATATGGCACCCAAACTTCTTTGATAAGATCCTAACAGGTTTTTCTTTACTAAGAAGTAATTCACATATAATAAAGTTCACCATTTTGAAGTGTGTAATTCAGTGGTTTTGTTATAGTCACAAAGATGTGCAACCATCATTATTACCTAACTCCAGAAGAATTTCATCCCCTAAAAGATACCGCACACTCACTAGTTCTCACTTCCCTCACCTCCTTTCTCCAGCACCTGGGAACCACCAATCCACTTCCTGTCTCTAGAAATCTGCCTATTGTGGACATTTCACAGAAGAATAACCTAATGTGTAGCCTTTTGTGTTTAACTTCTTTCACTAGTATATTTTCAAACAATAAGCCTATCCTCTTGATGGTTGAATAATTTTCCATTATGTGAATAAACCACAATTATCTAAATCTCAACTGGTTTATCCATTCATCAGTTCATAGACATTTGCGGTGTTTCCATTTTTTCTCTATTGTGAAAAATGCTGCTATTGATATCCATGTATATGAGTTTTTATGTGAACATATGCTCTCAATTTTTCTTAGGCTTTGATACATTTTGACATACATGTATACCTGTAATCACTCAAGATTATGAACACAAACATCATCCAAAAATTTTATGTCCTTTGGGATTTGTCCTTCCTACCCACAAGGCAACCAGTCACCTGTTCCTATTACCATAGGTTAGACTTCATTTTTGAGAACTTCATAGTTCAATGTATATCAAACAACATTTTTTTTTGTCTGGCAATTTTCATTCAGAATAATTAGTTTTAGGTTAATCTCTGTTACATGTATCATTAATTCATTCCTTTGTATCACTTAGCAGTATTTACCATATTAATATGCCAGTCTTTTCCATTCATTTCCACTTTTGATTATCCATGACCACTGGTGGACACTGAGTTTGCTTCCAGTTTTTTACTATTATTAAAAAAAATGGCTATGAACATTCATATGGGATAGTACACTCATATGGTCTAATATAAAATATGGGTATCCATTATATATTATATTACATATAAATATATGGGTATGTCTTAATAGATTCCTTGGGTAAAAGTCTAGGAATAAAATGGCTGGATCATACAGAACTGTGGTTTGGATAATGGATAGTCCCCCAGAGGTTTGTGTTCTGGAAACTTGATTCCCTATATAATGATTTTGGGAGGTAGTGAGACCTTTAAGATATGGGGCCTAATAAGAGGGCACCATCCAATCAGCTGGGAGTGTAGGTGGAACAAAGGAGAAGTTGTAAGAAACAGAGCTGGAGCGAAGAACAAAATTCAGTATGAGATGGAAGAAAAAAAAAAAGAGGGCAGGCCTTATAAAGGACAAGTCAGAGGTAAAAACAAATGGGAATTTCCAGAAGCCTTGGTCTGATACATCCTTTCACGATATACAAGCTGTTCAATGTACAAAGGGCACTTCCTAGTGTCCTCTCCCCAATTCTTCATCCTATCCATTGCTAGAAAATTGGAGATAAAGTCCTTAAACAGATAATGGGATGAGAAGGCTCGGGCTGTTATTAGTTCTATCTGATAAGGTTCCTACTAAAGCAGTTCGTCTAAGGACAGGCAAAATAAACCATTTCTTTATCATTTGGCACAGAGAAAATATGACCACTTTCTAAAGTCTAATTGGCCCATGAATTAAAGGGGCCAGGATTAACTTTTTTTTAAAAAAAAAAAAAAGAATGAACATTAGGTATGAGGAGGACCCACAAAAGTATGTATCTTTTATATCGGATATTTAGTGGTTTGTTTTATATTTTCTTGATTCATATTAGGTGATGTTAACTCAAGATACATCTTTTCTTCATAGGCCACTATGAGAGGACACTGAAAATAGCAGAAAAGACATACCCAACTGCTGGAAAAGGAGAGCCACGCTCGTGCCTGTGACAGGAAGACTGTCATGTAAAGGAGTTTGGATCAGCTGTCTGTCTCCTGCACCCAAGGAAAACAGCTTCTGCAGAATGGGAGAAACACGTGCACATGCACACATGCATGCACACACATTAATGACTTCAGAAAGTTTCCTAAAATAAAAATCTCTTTGAAGTTCAATTTTAGAGTGATTTTAAGAACCAATTAATAGATAAAAAGGCAAGAGTGGATAGCACAACACATTTTAGTTGTTTCCTGTGCAATTGAAAATGGTGTAGAAAAATTCAGTAGCAGAAAGTTCAAAGTAGAGGTGAAACACAAAAATCACTGACAATCATAACTGACTCAAAAATAATCAAATGCTAAAAACAACATTAGTAAAGGCCCACAAACAAATCTGCTTCTTAAAAGATTTGGTCTAACTATTACCAAACACTTACTTAATATTCTGCGCTTAGAGCAGAGGTAGAAGAATGAAAAGGGAGTGAGCAGGAAGAAAAAATAAAAGTTGGACATAAATTCAGTATAAATTAACGTAAGACAATAAATACTGAGAAAGACAGGATACAGTTAAAAAGAAAAACGGCAAGGAAAAAGGATGCTCATTTTACTCTAAGTAACATCTTCATCAAGCTAAAGACAAACAATATCATTTTTAGAGGGCTGTCCTCTTCCCCAGTATTATGTAAGAGTAAGTAAAATAAATAATTAACTACCGATTTTAGGACTTAAGGAAAAGAATCTATTCTTTCTAAAGTATGGTTGCCCAAGAAATACCAAATCATAACAGTCAAGGTTCTTTTTTTTATATTTAAATATAAAAATTTCAAGACATCCATTAGGAGATTAATATGAAAATCTCAAGATATCCAGAATAAAAAAAAAATCAATGCAGAAGTAACTGTGTTGAGAATTTTCTTAATGTCATCTCCTAATTTTTATCATGCTAACATTTTTTTAATTTCAGTTCACAAAAACAAGGTATAAATACACAAAGAAATAAGTAAAAAGCAGGGTACATTTAAAGGTACAACTTGAAAAAGTGTTGTTTTTTAACTTTTTCTTTTCAAGAAAATGTGAAGTAGAGTTAAAGTTCCATAAACTAGGCTAATTATGCTATGTGAAAGGTGAAACCTGTGTTAAAATTAACCCTGTGACCTGAGGAAAGAATGGAATATTGGGTATCTAGAAAGTGACCATAGGGACAATGCTTAACTAAAAAAGGATTCTCTTTAAAACAAAAATGTTTAAAGAATTCTTTCTCTTTCTTCATAATTAAATTAGCTGGAGGAGGGGGTAGGGACCTTTCTATATCTCTTTTGATTCCATTTACCTGAGACCCTCCAGCTGCCGGGACGAGGCAGGCACAAAGGTTTGCAATGAGACTTTCCAAGGAGACATTCAGACTGTCCACATACACAGTATAGATCAAGCCTAGGCAAGCCTACAAAGAGAAGGATGCAAGTAGTTATTTCATGGAAAAAGTAAGCACTGAGAATAAATTGTTATGATATCTGCTCCAAGGAAAATTTCTCTTTGAACCTAAGTAAAGTAGATTCTATAGTGAGCATGGAATATATTTTAAGCAGCAAATACTATTAAGTTTATTAAATTATCCTCTAGAACCAGGACCTCCAAATGAGATTGAGATGAGTTTATTGAAAGCAGAAAACTGTAATTTGCAGAACAGGTGTTTGTGCTCAGATACCTATTCCAACAAATCTGCAGAGCTAAAACTGGTTTTGTCTCAACTTACTTGGAAAAACTCCAAAAATCAACATAAAAATCTTTAAAATAAACAATGTCATTGAATGTATATAAAAAATTAATTAATTAAAAAAAAGGAATTAACTAAAAAAAAAAATTATCTTGTTTTGGGCCAGTGGTGTAGTGGTTAAGGTGGCTAACTGTGTGGTTTGAGCCATGAACCTGGCAGCTTGAAAAACCTGTTGAGTGTATCTGTGTGTGTGTGTGCCCAAAGTCCCAAAAGGAGGGAAAGACGGAGTAGTTACCATGTGACTATGCCCCATGGGGGCACTTTCTAGCAGTTTCTCTCCCTCCTGCACTGTACAATACTCTGGCAACGTTAAAAAAAGGAATAAAGAAAAATTTTATCTTGTTTTATGGTTCTTTTAAATATAGAACATTTATTCTACAGAAAAATTTAACTTATTTGAATTATAATAAATTATAAAGCAAAAACAAGATGATAAGATTCTTAACAATTGGAAATTAGAAGAAGAAAGGTGGTAAAATAGAAGATAAAATGCAATTTTTATGAATCTTTTAGTACGCTAAAATTTGTGACTAAAAATTAGTTTTTATCAGGAGTTACCCATTGTCGTTGAAATCTTGATACTAAGTTAATTTTCTAGCAGAAACACACACACATATATAGAAAATCTCACTTCTTAAAACGTTTTCCAGAAATTACATATTAATGCAGATATTTATAAGTTAAAATTTCTTTTTACATATGAAAAATGAGCGTATATAAAAATTCTTAAACAATATTTTAAAGCAATGTTGCCAAGAATATAGTCAGAATTTTCTGAAACCTTAAACACCCATTCTGTTTCCTTAAACCTGAGTCCTCATATGGTGGAAAAACAGACACAAAGTTAAATCAGTAGTCCAATTTAAATTTGCTACAAATAATAAAGTTATTTCTTTGGGTTTATAAATTTTGGACTTGATTAATGTTGGCTCACACACACATATATATACATATTTGTAATATGTGTGTGTATATATATATATTCAAATATGTATATACGTGTGTGTGTGTGTATATATATATATATATATAGAGAGAGAGAGAGAGAGAGAGAAACAGAGAGCAATCCCTTCTCCTCCATTCTCCTCTCGGGATCTTGGGCACACACGCACACGCACCTGGCTTGAGTTTAAGCCACCAGGTCCGAGACTCGAACCGTGGTCAACTACATGGGAGTCCAGCAACATAGCCATTATGCCAACTGCTGGTCCTGGTATATATACATTTTTTAATTAAGAGATAGTGAGAAATCACTCCCCGGGGGAATGGCCTTGCTGCGATCCCTTCTCCATCCTCCTAGGATTTGGGGCACACATGCACACATGCCCAGTTTGAGCCACCAGGTCTGGGACATGAACAATGGTCAGTCATGTAGGAGTCCAGAGCCTTAATCCCTATACCACCTGCTGGCTCCATGGGACTATTTTTAAACAAATACCGTAGAAGTTTAAATAGTCACATTAATTTACTCAAATATTATTTTTTTCTAATATGAAAGTATTTCTTCTGTCTGTACTAATTGTATTTTATTGGTGCATTCCTAAATCAATATAATGATATTTTCATTTATACAAGAATACAAAGTAATAGTAATAATTTTGAGTTCTTTACCCTAAAAATTTCTGGATAATCTAATCTTGATACCAACACAAGGCTTTTAGGAGCAAACACTTCCGCAGGCTGAATTAAACCAGTCACTTCCTCTTCACCTTCAATCTCCTCCTTCTTTGTTCCCTAGAAAAAGAGACAATATATTCAGCACACAGAATTTCCTAGGCTCTTAATTCTCAAGAGATAGATATACTACACACCTTCAATGTAACTTACAAAAAATTCAAATTAAATACAAAACATAATTTATTAAAACCAAACTAAAAATAAAGAACTAACTTTGAGAACAATCTAAAGGGTAAAATGGCAAAGAAATTATGAAGCAGAAAATACTTATTTCATTTTTAAATACACTCCTTAAGTTCCAGACATGGACCACACAACTTTATTTGAATATTTCCTTTCTGAGTGAGGTACAATGGTCAGTAACTCACGTTAAAATTCTTTTAGTACTGATTCAAACAATTAATGGAAATTTCACATAAATGGAAAGTCAGTTTTCTAAAGAAGAAAAAAAAATCTGTCTTAGACAGAAGACACTGATTTTCATTTCTGTGTTTCTGCTTGTCACAGTCTTTTACACTAGGAGTCTAAGGCTTGCAGAATGGGCAGTTCTCTTGGAAGTAAAGCACAATCAGCACTAAACTGCTCTTGCTCATAAGCAATAATGCTGGTATGTTAAGACAAGAGAACATTGTGTTTTGAACAGCCCGTGGGTACATGCAGTCTGAGAGAGAGAGAGAAAGAGGAAGTCAGGGAGAGAAAGCACCCCCCAGGAGAGTGTGGTCAGGCCACAACCCCCTTCCTCTATTTCTCCATCCCATCAGGATTCTGAGCATGCATCCACATATGTCTAGAATGTTCTTCAAGATGCTGATGCCAGATTCAATTTGCAGTCAGCCATGTGGGATCTGGCTCCCTGTACTAAAGGGCTTAGGCTAGCCCAAGAGATAACATTTTTATACACAAGACTAAATTTCAGAATGTACTTAAGTCATTGAACTATATGAGGGATTTTTTAAAAATACCTACTGCAAAATAAAGATACAAATTTTGAAATTCTTTTGCACAAAAAAAATCCCATTTTGGGACCAGCAGATGGCGTGGTGTTTAAGGTGTTGGAATTCCCACATGGTTGACCGCAGTTTGAGTCCCGGAGATGGTGGCTTGCTTTCTCACTCTTCCTCTCTGTCTTTCTCTGACAAATTCATGTGAAAATAATAATAAATAAGTAAATAAAATAATTTTTAAAAAGCTAAAAAAAATTCCTATTTTAATTACTCTTTTATGAACTTTTTGAAGTCCCCTCATATACTTAAAATGGTTAAAATGATAAACATTAGGGCTATCAGATGGCATGGTGATTAAAGTGCTGGAACCCACACGGCCAACTACATGATTCAAGTCCTACACCTAGCATTGGGAAAAGATGCTGGGAATATGTGCATGTGTGCCTGAAATCCCAAGAGGACAAGGGAGGAGAAAGGATTATGGCATGGCCATTACCCCTGGTGGGGTGATTTCTCAATTTTCCTCTCTCTCTCTGGCAAGCACATGTACCCGATATCAAAAACAAAATCTAAATTAAAAATAGAAAAGGTAAACCTTAGGTATTTTTCATCACAATAAAAAAAACTAAGTTTCAATGACTGGTAAACAAATTTGGGAAAATATTACTCTCATTTTTAAGCCAACAAGTATTTCCTGTACACCTACTGTTACATGGTATTCTATACTTTTAAAGTTTTAAAGAAAACAAAAAAGGAGAGGGTTATAAAGCATCCAGATTGATTATCAGATGAAAGTCTAGGATTCTAGTTCATTTTCCTTAACTAGAATTTCCTTCTCTTTCCTTTACAGTAAATGAAGGTCTAGTTTTATATTTATCTTTCTCCCTTAGGTTTTCACTTCACTGATTTTTTTCTTCTTTTATTTTCCAGTGCAGTTCACCAATATTTCACACTTACTTATTTCTTTTGCAAACCTTTCCTCAAAATACCATATCCAGCTGCCTGCTCGACAGCTCTACTTGGATGACCAGCAAACATCTGAATCGTACCCAACCATAGCTTCATCTTCCCACCTACACCCAACTCTCCCCATAATACCCCCTTATCTCAGTTAATGGCAATCCTATCCTTCCACTTGGAAAGCAAAGTCCTGAACCATCTCTCTTTCATAGCCTGTATCCAACAGTCAGCAAATCCTGATTTTTCACCACCTCTACTGCTAATGTAACACCATTATACCACCATCATCTCTCATGTGGATTATTATAACAGCCTCCCTCATCTTCTTTCTTCTTTAGCCCTACTTTGCTTCCTTGCTGCTGTTGAAATAAGTTAGGCAAGCTACCTCTATGGGTCTATGCATTTTGCCCTTTGTCTCCAATACTCTTTCCATAGATGTCTTAAGAGTAAGTCCAACTCTCGTCTCCTTTTAGTCTTCATGAAAGCATTTTCTTCTCTAATAAGCCTTTGTTTATTACCCTACTTGAAAGTGCACTGCCCTAACACTCCCTATCCCCTTTCTCGTCTTTATTTTTCTCCATGGCACTTTGTCACTATCCAATATACTACCCATTTTACTTATCTTGTTTTTTAGTTTGTCTCTTTCCCCCAGTAGGATACATTCCATGTGGGCCAGGGTGCCTGTATTTTGCTAAATGGTGATGCACTATTGTAGTTCCAAAAATAAGGGCTAGGCACATACAATACTTAATATCTGCATATTCAGTTACTTTACAAAGTTAGTGGAAAAATCCCATTTTGGGACCAGCAGATGGCGTGGTGTTTAAGGTGTTGGAATTCCCACATGGTTGACCGCAGTTTGAGTCCCGGAGATGGTGGCTTGCTTTCTCACTCTTCCTCTCTGTCTTTCTCTGACAAATTCATGTGAAAATAATAATAAATAAGTAAATAAAATAATTTTTAAAAAGCTAAAAAAAATTCCTATTTTAATTACTCTTTTATGAACTTTTTGAAGTCCCCTCATATACTTAAAATGGTTAAAATGATAAACATTAGGGCTATCAGATGGCATGGTGATTAAAGTGCTGGAACCCACACGGCCAACTACATGATTCAAGTCCTACACCTAGCATTGGGAAAAGATGCTGGGAATATGTGCATGTGTGCCTGAAATCCCAAGAGGACAAGGGAGGAGAAAGGATTATGGCATGGCCATTACCCCTGGTGGGGTGATTTCTCAATTTTCCTCTCTCTCTCTGGCAAGCACATGTACCCGATATCAAAAACAAAATCTAAATTAAAAATAGAAAAGGTAAACCTTAGGTATTTTTCATCACAATAAAAAAAACTAAGTTTCAATGACTGGTAAACAAATTTGGGAAAATATTACTCTCATTTTTAAGCCAACAAGTATTTCCTGTACACCTACTGTTACATGGTATTCTATACTTTTAAAGTTTTAAAGAAAACAAAAAAGGAGAGGGTTATAAAGCATCCAGATTGATTATCAGATGAAAGTCTAGGATTCTAGTTCATTTTCCTTAACTAGAATTTCCTTCTCTTTCCTTTACAGTAAATGAAGGTCTAGTTTTATATTTATCTTTCTCCCTTAGGTTTTCACTTCACTGATTTTTTTCTTCTTTTATTTTCCAGTGCAGTTCACCAATATTTCACACTTACTTATTTCTTTTGCAAACCTTTCCTCAAAATACCATATCCAGCTGCCTGCTCGACAGCTCTACTTGGATGACCAGCAAACATCTGAATCGTACCCAACCATAGCTTCATCTTCCCACCTACACCCAACTCTCCCCATAATACCCCCTTATCTCAGTTAATGGCAATCCTATCCTTCCACTTGGAAAGCAAAGTCCTGAACCATCTCTCTTTCATAGCCTGTATCCAACAGTCAGCAAATCCTGATTTTTCACCACCTCTACTGCTAATGTAACACCATTATACCACCATCATCTCTCATGTGGATTATTATAACAGCCTCCCTCATCTTCTTTCTTCTTTAGCCCTACTTTGCTTCCTTGCTGCTGTTGAAATAAGTTAGGCAAGCTACCTCTATGGGTCTATGCATTTTGCCCTTTGTCTCCAATACTCTTTCCATAGATGTCTTAAGAGTAAGTCCAACTCTCGTCTCCTTTTAGTCTTCATGAAAGCATTTTCTTCTCTAATAAGCCTTTGTTTATTACCCTACTTGAAAGTGCACTGCCCTAACACTCCCTATCCCCTTTCTCGTCTTTATTTTTCTCCATGGCACTTTGTCACTATCCAATATACTACCCATTTTACTTATCTTGTTTTTTAGTTTGTCTCTTTCCCCCAGTAGGATACATTCCATGTGGGCCAGGGTGCCTGTATTTTGCTAAATGGTGATGCACTATTGTAGTTCCAAAAATAAGGGCTAGGCACATACAATACTTAATATCTGCATATTCAGTTACTTTACAAAGTTAGTGGAAATAAAACTAAAGTATGAATTTATTTTGGTGCAAAAAATTTTTAATCCATGTACAGTTTTTTTCATGATATGCATTTTCCATAAACTTCTTAAAGACTTGCTTATACATGCAGGCATGAGTTTTCTTGGAATGGTTTTCTGAGTATTTTATTAAAGTAAGTGAGTAGAGGCCAAGATTTATATACTATATTTCTTTAGAGCTCATTTATAGTTTCTAGTACAGTGCAATATAACCAAATATTTGACAGCTATGGAATGCACATATCCAAGGAAACTATCTGTTTATTTTTTATATGTATGATAAGGTCCATATGCTCTTGAAAGATCTTCACTTGTTACAAAGCAAAAACTAAAATCAGGTTGGTTGGTTTCTGAGATCCTTACAAATAATAAAAATGTGATGAATATAAATTTACCAACAATTTCCACACTTAATGAATCATACTCTTCATGGATTACTAACAAATTCAAAATGACAAAAGAATGACTGAAATTCCTGGAAGAAATACAGTGATCCACATTTTTATGAGATTGTGATAAATGCCCTAGAGTACCATTAGAAGTCAGCTTAAGTAGATAACCATTTCAAATAAATGACCATTAATCTACTTTGACCAAAACATAAAATAGAATGAATTGGTCATTTCTTAAAGCTGTTCTTTAATTAAACCCTCACTAAGAGA